GACCTCAAACTTTGTGGGCGGGACTAAGTTCGGAATGGCACCCAGGCTATGGCACTGCTGCCTTGCAGCAAAAGGTTCTGGGTTCGATTCCCGGCCCGGGGTCTTTCAGCATGGAGTTTGCATGTTTTCCCTGAGCATGCGTGGGTTCTCTCCGGGTACTCCCTCCCACAGTCCAAAAACATGACTGTTAGGTTAATTGGCTTCTCTAAAGTAGCCTTAGGTGTGAGGGTGTGCGTGAATGGTTGTTTGTTTGTCTCTGTGTTGCCCTGCGAAGGACTGGCAACCTGTCCAGGGTGTACCCCGCCTCTCGCCCGTAGACAGCTGAAGATAGGTATCAGCACCCCCTGTGACCCCACTTGGGATAAGCATGTAGGAAAATGGATGAATGGATGGAATTGCTTTATTCTAATTATGCAGGAAGTTTTCCAGATTATATGGACATTGCAATGTAGGTAGAACAGGAAAGGAAAAACAGAAAAAAAAAGGAGAAAAGATGAGATAAAAGGGAAATAATGCTAAAACACTTTCAGTCTGCTTCATCACCTGCAAAGAGATGTAAAAAGAACAGCACAACCAACGGACATTGTACTAGACATACAATAAAGTAACACCTAGATACTATCGCTCAAGTATAAGTAGTATTATTAAATCTGACATGTACTCTGTGTTACCTAAAGATAAGAATATGGGCTTTCTGTATGGAAGTGAATCTCTAAGTACCTTGAGATTTCCTCCTAATGTAACAATGGTTTTTATGGCAAAACATTTCACCACACAGTATGTCTCCAGAATTTGAGGCAACACTTCCTCGGTGCATTCACAAACTATAATGCCTCATTGTGTAGCGGTTGGAGTCATTGCTCTTTTCATAGGCTTAGCCAATATTAGTACAGAACTACCCAGGTTGATAATCAATTTTTCATCTTTTACAAGCAGCACAACAAGTTTTGTTGGTTTTTATTTATTGTTTTTTGTATTGTCTTCTTGCCCCTCAGAGTTTGTAAAGTACCGCAAGAAGCTGAGCCGCTCTGTGTCAGCACAGTCTCGCTTCCTCAGTACTTATGGAGGGACCAGCCATATGCCATTAGATGACATCTACACTGATCTCCACCTAGAGCTACCGAACAGCAGTGGTGATGACTACAAATCCTTTGATTTTGAGGACATATTTGGTCCTGTTGGAACAGTAAATGAAGATGCAGACACAGTGCTGGTATCTGGAGAGGCGGGGAGTGGAAAGAGCACCTGGCTGCAGAGGCTGCACCTTCTCTGGGCTCAAGGAGTTGGCCTTCAGAACTTTGTCCTGCTGTTTCCATTCAGCTGTCGCAGGTTGAACTCAGAGCAGAGGGATCTGTCAGTGAAGGAGCTACTTTTTCAGCACTGCTGCTGGCCAGACAGAGAGCAGGAGGAGATCTTCCAGTTCATTCTGGATCACCCTCATCTTGTCCTCTTTACCTTTGATGGTCTAGATGAGCTTAAGCAGAACTTGGTGGATGAACATATAATTTGCTGCCCCAACCAGCAGGCACCTGTTCATGTACTATTATTCAACTTAATCCAGGGTTCTCTAATGAAAGGGGTGAGAAAAGTTGTTACCAGTCGTCCAGAAGCAGTGGGGCCTGGTTTGAAAAAACACTTACAGAAAGAGGTACATCTGAAAGGCTTCTCACCTTCTGGCATTAACTGCTTTGTGAGAAAACATCACAATGATCCCAATGAGGCTGCTAAGGTCTTGGAGTCTCTACAGGCAAACACAGCTTTACTTGGACTTTGCCACATTCCAGTTCTCTGCTGGATAGTCTCACAGTGTCACAAGGAGCTGCTTGGATGTGGAGAGGGAAGTCCTCAAACAGTTACTGATGTTTACCTGATGATCTTACAACACTTTTTCCAGCACCACAGCACCTTTAAGGGAGCTGTTGGGGTAAACTGGCTGCAGCAGAACCTTGGGACAGTCTTGCGTCTTGGCCAGCTCGCCTTAGAGGGAATATTAAATTCCAGTTATGTCTTTTCAGTCACAGACTTGGAAACATGCAGCCTCACTGAGTCTGATATCTGCATGGGCTTTCTCATTCAAACCAAAAACATGTCCCTGGTCCACAGCATATGCTATGAATTTCTTCACATCACAATGCAATGCTTCTTTGCCGCTATCTATACTATTTTATCAAGTAACACTGGCCGCTCAGTTATCCCTAAGCTCTTTGAACTGCATGAAATGAAGAAAAGAAGCCTCAGTAGTGCATGTTTCTATCTGCCTTGCGCTAATGAACAGACTATTTCAGAGGACCATTCTACCACAGCAGAATCCCCAAATCTGCAAATCACAGCCACCTTTGCTTCTGGACTCCTGTCCCAGAGGTATCGAAAGCTCTGGTTTCATTGCAGTTCAAGTGTTTTGCTGGAGAAGAAGGCCAAACAAGCAGCGAAATGCCTTTCAAAAGGCATGCAGCAACATTTCAAGTCGATCCCTCAACCTGTGCAGGGGGAGAAGAAGAGTATGCATGCTATGCCAGAATTTGTCTGGCTCATTAAATGCATCTATGAGATGCAGGAGACCAGGATTGCTAAAGATGCCATGAGTAAGTTAGAAGTTGACCACTTGAAACTGACATACTGTAACATTGGCCCTGTGGAGTGCACAGCACTTGCTTTTGTGCTCCAACACCTAAAGAATCCTGTAGGAATCCAGCTGGACAACAACTCCGTGGGCGATGTTGGAGTGGAGCAGCTTCTTCCCTGCATGCACGTTTGTAACTCTTTGTAGTAAGTCCAACATCTGAACGCCTCTTTGCTTTAAGAGTTTGACTAGATAATAGCTTTATTGGCACAGCTAAATGTCAGAATAATCCCATATTATCTTAGACTTTTCTGATCCATCATTCAGAATCTGATCTACAGCAATATAAGGCTTCTGATCATCCCTCAGGAGGCAAATGGAGACTACAGATGGTTTTTCACTGTCCAACTAATCCAAGAAATATCAGGCAGCAGACTCTAATGCAGATAATATGCTATGCATGGTACACAAAAACTTTGTTTGTTTTTCAAAGACTTAAATACTTTAGGGTAGCAACAGAGTTTAGACGAACATTAGCATACTGCATGGGGAATACTGACTAATTCTAGACCTCACCCCTTTTGTTTCGAGCTGCATAACTCCAAAAACTGCCTCTCGCTCTTCTTGCTGTACCCTGTTGCATAATTGAAATGATCAATACTTTTAGAATTCATTCTGGAATGGTTGGTTTTCTCACTAACAGTAGCTTAACTGGTTTTAAAGGGATCTTGTGAAAGAATTACTGTCATCTAGCAGTGAAAAGGGGGTATTTCACTCATACGCTATACCTCAGTGCGTCAATGCCTTGACAAAACATCTCCAGTATGTCTTTCTGCTGGAGTTCTAAAGAAAAAATTTCCTTTGCTAAAATTATCTCTTGCTGTAGTCTCTTTCATCTGCTATCATTGGGCTTCATGCTGTTGCTAATCAATGCTGCCTGTTGCTACCTGGTTCGTACTGGTAGCACGATCCATCAGCTCATTGTGCATGCCGATAAGAAAACCATCTGGGTCGCCCTCGATTGTACTTTATCAAAAAGGACCAAAATAATTGTTTTCCCTCCCTAGCAATAATAAGCATACTAATATGCTATGTGTAAAAAGTTAACAATTTATTTTCTGGTAAAATTAATGCGTTCAAATCCTTTCTGTTGCGTCACTCATCTGTGCCCGATCTGTCCCAAAACTGGGATCCTACGCTTCTTCAGGACAGCTTTGGATTTATACAGAAATACAGTCTTTCTGAGTTTTATGTTTGCCTTTTGTTGTAATGCAGATAAACACGGTGTAATCATATTTTACCGGACTTCTCTGAGCATGTCTGATGATGATGTCAAACAAGCAATTTTAGTATTTGGTGATTTAACGATAGAAATAAGTACTTTCAGTACCTTAAATACATTACTTATAGAAACCTGGATAAATATTTGCTTGCATATGCACAAATTAGCTGATTGCATGGATCCTGCTTCTGCTACAGATTGGATAGTGACACTGCCGTAGTGTCAATAAACTTTTTATTTAGCTGCTGGCCAGGTAGTTAGCTAGTTTTTTCAACTTTTCCCTCTCTTTACCCAAACTTAGTATGTCATAAAAACAAAATAATAATAAAAAAAACATTACATATCAAGGGAAAAAAATGCAACTACACAGACAAGGCAGTGACATTGTTTACAGTGTCTGTGGTTGTCACGGCAAAGAACTGACAGCTTTCATTGCGGCTTTGTAATCTACTTAACCAGAGAAAAACCTGCAATTCTGTACCAACAAGATTGCTGTATGTTTGTGGGATCTACTGTTTTCTATAGTAGCGAGCAACCCTATCTCATATAACTGAACGAAAAAATTGATAACTTCAGCCTTCCTTTTAAATCTTCCTCATTTTTAACTCCTTCCACCTGGGGAAGGCTTGCCCAATGTTTTTATTTTATTTTATTTTATAATATCTATGGTTTCATTGACTTCTAAGTCTTTTCTCCTTTATTGGAGAGTCTTGTGCTGCATGTGCATGGTGCTGTACTGTGCCGCAGTGGTGCAAACTAACTTTGTTGTGTTAGTCTACAAACGATCCTCGCCACTGCCTCTCAATCACACTGAACTGCCTGCATGTGCGATATTCCATGCTTTAGTATTATTCTATCACTCTACTCTCAAGATGACAGACTGTACAGTAATTGCAATTTGCAAACAGTTGACAAACTTTGTGTATAGACTAATCTAAATTTGTTTGCTTTTGAATATGCGTCTGATTATTAGTGGAGGTAATAATACACCAATTATAAAACATATATGAATGCAGTTATCAGGTTCAGGCAGTTAAAAAGAGAAATTGTTGACAATATCCCTTCGAAAAGTGGGGAGCTTCTGTGTTGTTTGTTTTGTTATTGCACCTCGTATCTATTAATGATAGTATCCAACAGCTTATTAAAGTTTATAGGTTAGTTTTAGGTATTTTATTTATTTATTTGATATAGGACAGTTCATATTAATTAACATGAGTTCAAAAAGTCCAGATGTAAATGTTTCTCTTTTGAAAAAAACTTTTTTATGGCCCAAATTTAGCCCCATACCTCTAGCCATGTACGCAAATTTTCATTTGCAGTTCCAGGGCAGGTTGATGTTGGCAGGGCAGGCAAAGCCACTCTCAAGAAAAAAAACATATTATAACAAAGGCAACAGCAGTAGGCAAGATACATTGTATCAAAACATATAAAAAGAGAAAAAATAATAGCAAATGTATGACGTAATGAATGAATTAATTAATTAAAATATGCTTTTGCTGCTACGGTTGTTATATAATGTTGTATTTCCCAAAATGCGTCCAACATGAATTTCGTTTCGGTTATTTTCTTGAAATGAGGGTTCAAGGACAGTTTAGAATCGATAATTGCTTCTAAGAATCTGTATTGCTGAATCACAGTTAATGTGGATTCTGGTCGGATAAAGTTCTTCGTTTAGTGATTTGGATAAAACAAACACATTTAGATATAAACCCAACAGGTTAGCCTGGGTATTTGTACAGATATTATTGGAAACATTCTCCTTTCAGTATACTATTGGCATGTTGCAGATAGACAGGCTTTTAAGGAAATTAATGATGCAAGTTTATAAGAGGAGGCCCAAGGTTTATCCCTGAGGAACACCCATATAGTTATTAACACTGCTCAAGGTGACACTACTGAGCAGATCACACTGCTTTTTGTTTTCTAAATACGACTTTATCCACTTCACAATAATCAGTGATTTAATGAGGATGTTATGTTTTACTGTCAAAGGCCTTCTTGAAATCCTCTGTCCTTCTGTCCAGCTTCTATGTGATGGTCTTTAATAGGATGATATCTGTGGTCTTTGTTTTGAGAAGGCCAAATTATAAAGGCCCCAATGTTTATCGAATAGAATCTAAATGTGGTATGATTTATTTGTAAATGCACTTTTCTATTACTATTTACAAACACATATTTTACAGATTAGCCTGTAGTTGGCCACATCCAGGCAGTCATCTGTTTTAAAAATATGAGTTATGATAATGTTCCAAACACTGTGAAATACTTATGTATTTAGAGACTGTAACCTTCATGTTTAAAAAAAAAAACAACTGTCAATTCCATAGACATCTCTGGCACGTAAGCTTTTTAAGAGATTAAATTATAACTTATACTTTTGAATGGATTGTTTGATTAAAATATAATACTGCATCTTGATCTTGATCAGTGCAATTTAAATTATACATAGAACTAATAGTACTGTTTGCGTTCACTTGCCACTACACATGAATCATTGGTTATATTATTTTACTTTTACGTATATGAGGCTTAGTTTCCTTTTTGAAATTTCTTCCTGTAGTTAGTTTTTTTACATTCAGCAATTTGTTCAGTGTATAAATTAAAAACGTAACATACCGTATTTAATTTATGTTTTTGTTATATTTATATGCAAATGTTTGTTTCTTATTTATTAGCCTCAGAAATAATAACATTACCGACGAGAGCATCCGCAAATTGATCGATAAAGTCATCCACCTTGACAACTTCCGGAAAATTGCGTAAGTATATTTGCAACCGTTGCAAACTTTATTATAAACACACAGGTAAATTGCTATCATTTAATTTCAATAATATTTTATTCATTTTGTCCAGGCTCTTCAACAACAGGCTAACTGACGCTTGCACACAGCATTTTTCTTACCTGCTAAAGACCAAACAAAATTTCCTGTCCTTAAGGTCAGAACACACCATCATCAAAAGTGACAACCCTATAGAGAAAATAGTTACATTTTACATCATGCATGGTGGCTGTGTAAGGTACCAGAACAATACAGTATTTTATATCTTTCAGGCTGGGTAACAACAATATTACAGCAGAGGGAGCAAAGCAGCTGGCCGAAGGACTGAAATTCAATAATTCACTGCAGTATTTAGGGTAAAACATGTTTTGTGCAAAAATATTTTGTTTGTTGTGTATTACCCAGTTGCTTACAGTATTGTTATAAATTTGTATTCTCAGGCTATGGGGCAATAAGATAGGAGATGAAGGAGCCAAGGCCCTTGCAAGTGCTTTACAGAACAGCAATTCCATTGTCTGGATCAGGTAATATTTGTTTTAAACATTTGCAAAGAAAATGTACCATAAGCCTGGACAGAGTAGAAAATAAAACTAGATAGGACTGCTTCTGTTATAAGGGCATATACGTTGCAACTGTTTTATTGTTTTTTTTAAGTATTTCAGAAATCAGTCACATTTTGTCATCATTATGATCTTGTTTTCACATACTGTAAAAGCAATGATATAAAATAACATGAACATGCATACTCTGGCAGCCTTGTAGGCAATGGTGTTGGAAGTGCAGGGGCCATTGCCCTCTCTAACATCATCAGGAACAGCACATCGCTGGAGGAGCTCTGGTAAGTCTTAGGGGAGTCTTCATACCTTCACAAAGGTAGATTTCATTTGCATGAACCAGCTGTTCTTTTTTTTCTTTTTTTCTTTTTGTCATTTGAATAAATCTTGCAGCATGACTAAAAAAGGCAGTTTTCTTATTTCCTTTGTAAGGTTGACTGAGAACTGCATAACCAGAACAGGAGTGGAGTCTCTGACTCAAGCTTTGAAACACAATGATCATGTCAAGTCAGTATGGTAGGTAATTTGCTTGCAAAAACATTTCCTTGAACTTTTTTACAAATATATCATATTACAACCAAAAATGTGAAAGCATAATTATGTATGAAAACCAACTGCTACTCTTAATACACTGACTGCTCTACTAACAACGCTGTATTATATATTTTTTCTATGTTTATTATGAAGTTTGCTCATCTGTTACCGCTGTAACAGCTTTAACTACGCTGCAAAGGCTGTTTATAATGTTTAGAAGAGTGTTTTTGATCAGAGGTGCATTTTTGAGGTCAGGCCTTGAAGGCCTAGCTTTGCAGTATACACTCACCGGCCACTTTATTAGGTACCCCATGCTAGTAACGGGTTGGACCCCCTTTTGCCTTCAGAACTGCCTCAATTCTTGGTGGCATAGATTCAACAAGGTGCTGGAAGCATTCCTCAGGGAGTTTGGTCCATATTGACATGATGGCATCACACAGTTGCCGCAGATTTGTCGGCTGCACATCCATGATGCCCGTTCCACCACATCCCAAAGATGCTCTATTGGATTGAGATCTGGTGACTGTGGAGGCCATTTGAGTACAGTGAACTCATTGTCATGTTCAAGAAACCAGTCTGAGATGATTCCAGCTTTATGACATGGCGCATTATCCTGCTGAAAGTAGCCATCAGAAGTTGGGTACATTGTGGTCATAAAGGGATGGACATGGTCAGCAACAATACTCAGGTAGGCTGTGGCGTTGCAACGATGCTCAATTGGTACCAAGGGGCCCAAAGAGTGCCAAGAAAATATTCCCCACACCATGACACCACCACCACCAGCCTGAACCGTTGATACAAGGCAGGATGGATCCATGCTTTCATGTTGTAGACGCCAAATTCTGACCCTACCATCCGAATGTCGCAGCAGAAATCGAGACTCATCAGACCAGGCAACGTTTTTCCAATCTTCTATTGTCCAATTTCGATGAGCTTGTGCAAATTGTAGCCTCAGTTTCCTGTTCTTAGCTGAAAGGAGTGGCACCCGGTGTGGTCTTCTGCTGCTGTAGCCCATCTGCCTCAAAGTTCGACGTACTGTGCGTTCAGAGATGCTCTTCTGCCCACCTTGGTTGTAACGGGTGGTTATTTGAGTCACTGTTGCCCTTCTATCAGCTCGAACCAGTCTGGCCATTCTCCTCTGACCTCTGGCATCAACAAGGCATTTCCACCCACAGAACTGCTGCTCACTGGATGTTTTTTCTTTTTCGGACCATTCTCTGTAAACCCTAGAGATGGTTGTGCGTGAAAATCCCAGTAGATCAGCAGTTTCTGAAATACTCAGACCAGCCCTTCTGGCACCAACAATCATGCCACGTTCAAAGTCACTCAAATCACCTTTCTTCCCCATACTGATGCTCGGTTTGAACTGCAGGAGATTGTCTTGACCATGTCTACATGCCTAAATGCACTGAGTTGCCACCATGTGATTGGCTGCTTAGAAATTAAGTGTTAACGAGCAGTTGGACAGGTGTACCTAATAAAGTGGCCGGTGAGTGTATATTCTAATTCATCCTAAAAGTGCTGTGGTTAGACCAGAGTTGTAGCACAAGAATGATTATGAATACATGAAATTGTAGCCCCTGCCTCCTATCCCCTGTTCCTAGCCCCTGTTCCTTCACCTTTTGCACAATCAACGGTAAAGACACTATTGTGGGTAGGAAAAGAACTCTGGCCTGCTCTGCGGAATCTGCCATTATAGGACGGAAACACACAAGCATTTCATCCTTTTTGTGTGCCTCATGCCTTCCATGGATCTGGTAGCCGTTTCTCAGGTTCCCTCTCCAGAAAAAAAAACCCTTATAATTCCCTGTTACCCATGTTAACCATGGTAGGCATGTAGCACAGTTAAAAGGCAGACATTGTAGAAAGATCTTTGTCCAATTAGGACTACAACTTTCCAAAAAGAACTAAAAAAAAAACCAAACAAAAAAAAAAGCTTTCCATCACACAATCCAAAATATATGATGGTGTGTACCTTTGCATGCATTACACACACTACACCTGAAGCAGTACACTTGTTGTTTTTTTTTTTTTTTGTTCATTTCTGCTATTCGAAAAAAGTTTAAAAAAGTGATAGAAATTAAGTTGTTTAGGCCACTCTAATTGCCTGGAACTCGAGCGCTACTCCAGACATTTTTGAATTAAGAAAGCTTCCTCGATGGGAAGCGAAACGCCTTCAAACTTGAAAAACAAAGTCCAGACGTTTTTTTTAAACTTTTTTTTGGAATGACTATGACCTGGATGACTGAGAATCTTCACCAGCTTAATTCATTTCCGCTAGGAAGGCTGTCCTTATAAGGTCTGTCTCTCAAAATATTTTGCCAATCGTTATAGCTCCTTTGCACCAAGTAGGATTGTCAGGAAGTCCCTATGGTAAATAAATTGAAGAAGCATCCTGTTTCCGCTTCCTACCTCCGTCCTTACAAATGCTATTAAGGCAACACCTATCATGGCTACCACTGATGCACTTCTTTTTTGGCTACAGTGCTTACTGATTGTATTGGCAGCCTATGTCTTTATTGCCTTGCTTTGTGTATTTTATCACAGTCATGTTGGAATAAGGATGGGAGAATTCCCAAAACTGTTCCTACAATGTTAGGGTCATAAAATTATCTTAATGTTTTGGTAGATTAAGGCATTGAGCGCTCTTTAAGTGAAACTGGGCACATCCATTTATCAAAATCAGTCTGAAATAAATCTGTTCAAATGGTATTTTCCAAACCAAGTCTGGATTACCACACAGAGGGAGATAATTAATTACTCTAGAGAACAGGTTTCAACTTACTGCTTTATAATCCAGTAGCAAAACCCTTTATATCAGTGCCCATCCATTGCATGTTACTTGGTGATGGTGATGTCCATTGGAAATGGCTTCTATTAAGATCTTTATGCACTGTTTTTGAACTCATCTGAAGGCAGCATGGGATTTGGTGGTCTAGCAGCTTTTCTACATAAAGTAGAAAAAGCCTTTGAAAACTATTTTCCTCTCTATTCATTGAACCACCTCTGTGATTAGAACTGACCTAACACTTTGTCGCTAATTTGATTTTGTTCCTAATAAATTATATCAACAAAAAATGTGATCAATTAGTAAATCTTATTCCTGTGAGGGTTCTAAATGTTCTATGCATGTGGCCATAGAAGTGATTTTAGGAGTCTGTGAATACTTTTGGAAAAGTAATTAAAAGACAAAAGGGTTAGTCATTAGAATTAACCCAAGCGTGTGGGTGGATACCTGGAAAATTGTAAAAACTGAACCAGCATGAGTGGTTTGGGGGAGCATTCTACTGCATTACTTGGGCAACAGCGGCTCTGGTGAAAGGAATAATAGGGACGGATTTGTCCTGTAACAAACTGGTTGCTAGTTTGAGTCCCTGCTTTGTTTGTGTGTCTTTTGTTGTTGTGTCATTGGGACACTTCATGCTCCGTGCCTGCTATTGGTAGTTAGAAGGCTCATTGGCGCCGTTGTAGGGCGGGTCTGTCTAATGTAATATATCAATAGAGATTCAACCTTATCAACCTTATCTATGTAGCTTACCATTATCAGTGTGGGAATGTGTGCACGAATGGGTGAATGATGGAATGCAGTGAAAAGCAATGTAGGGTACTAGAAATTAATGAAGTTACTGTATAAGACCATTCATACAGAAATAAGATCAAATACCAGTATAATGTAAGAGTTAGTAACATTTAGAACTTTAATAATCCAGTTTAGTCTGGCTTTAAACACTTAATTCAATTGAATTTGTTGATCATTAATTCAACTCTCCTCTTTTTCTGATCAGGTTGAAAAATAATGACCTCAGTTCAGCAGAGGTTGAAGAACTGCAGAAGACTGAATCAAGACTGGTTTTCTGAGTTTGATATCCTGTCACTCTGGGAAATAGCTTTTTGCATTGTTGTAACAATATATATATATATA